AGGATCAATGTATGCCTGCAAAATCTCCACAAGCATGGCTTTTCTCATTTCACTTCTCTGCTACAGATATATTAGCCCACAGCCAACCTTGGCTAATTTCAAAAAGCTAAGCAAGGTCAGATCTGGTTAGTATTTGGATAGGAGACCATCAGGGATATAAGACAGATTGAAAAATTAAAAAAAAAAAAAACTACAGTGGCAAACCTTCTATATTTTTGTCAAGAAAACTATGTAGACATATTCATGAAGTCATCAAGAATTGAACTGGCCTTGAAGACAACTTTTTCTTTGTGATGCAGAATAGCACTTTATCAAATCAGATATTTTGTATAGATTATAGAACAGTGATGGCGAACCTTTTAGCGAGCAAGTGCCCCAAAACCGGCCTCTCCCTGCCATCCTTGCCACCCCCCCGTTCTGCCCCCCATCAGCCCCTGCTCTGCCCCCGCTTCGCCCCTGCCCGCTCCACCCCTGCCCGCAGGGCCTCCCACGGCCTCTACGGCCTGCTGCAGATCACCCAGGTAGCCCAGAAGCGCTATGGCAGCCACGCCTTCCACCTGCATCCCGCAGCATCAACTGCACATGACAGGGCACAAGGGCGGAGTCATGTCCCTGCTGCCCGGCTGCCATGTTCTTGGCTGCACTGTTCTATGTGGGCCATGCCCGGGGGCGACTCTCCTCCAGGGGGGTTGCTGGTGAGGAGGGGGCCGTTGGGGGAGGCTGGAGCGATGGTGCACGTGCCGACAGAGAGGGCTCTGCGTGCCACCTCTGGCACGCGTGCCATAGGTTCGCCACCACTGTTATAGAAGATACTGTGTTTTCCCAAAAATAAGACCTGGTCTTAATTTCTTTTGCTTCCAAAAGAGGCCTTAGTGTTATTTTGGGGGGATGTCTTTTTTTCCCCACTGTCTTGCCTCGCGATGGTGGCACTAACAGCCTATCCAGCAGGAGCGCATGTGACCGCCGCTGGGCCACTTCTGTGGCCTCTTGCTGCCACTTGTGTGCATTGACCCAGGCCTCCATTTCACTGGCAGAACCTTCAGGAGAAGCCTCTGCAGCTCAAAATGGAGCTCTGGGTTGACATGCGTTCCCCCCTCCCCGGCTTCCATTTCACCAGCAGAGGCCTTTTTTGAAGGCCTCTGCCAGCAAAACGAAGGCCGCGGGTGGGGCGATACACATGAGTGGCAGTGAGTGGCCACAGAAGAAGTGGGCTGGTGGTAGCCACGCAAGCTGTTGCTGGGCAGGCTGTCAGTACCGCTGCTGCGAGGCAAGGCAGGTGTTGGGGCATGGGAGGCCTGGCTGAGGTGGTCCCGAGGTAAGCAGGTGTGGGACACATGGATCAGCTCCACCCTGCCCTAGCTTGAATTTTTACATGTGTGCCTTGCCCCACCTCATGGGACAGAGTGAGTGGGGTCTTAACTAGGGCTTATTTTGGTGGTAGGGCTTATATTAGGCATGTAGAAATCCAGCTAGGGCTTATTTTCAGGAAAACACAGTAGTACTCCATTTGTGCTTTCCCCCTTCTCCTTGAGATATAGCAGACTAATGGGTAGAGGAAAAGGCAAATAACCACTGAAGGAAGATAGGAAACTGACTTATGTCTACGAGTTGCTCCCCAGTGTGAAAATTGGCATTGATTGCTATACAGTATATTGGTGAACTCTGAGAACTTCTAAAGAGAGCTTACTTGACTCTCTTCCTCCTAACCAAACTATCTGAACTTCACTGGCTCTTATTCCTTTGAAATGCACTTCCTCCCTCCTGGGAGTCTGGACTACACTCCACCACAGAATACCTGTCCACTATCCCCATCCAAATCTGATAGAGCTTTCCTAGTTAATTCTTGTTCCACGTCAGGTCACTTGAATTTTGAAACTAGATCACATACCAGGTGGCTTGGATCCTATTTTACTTTCTGGCTCTTTGAAAGAAAATTGCAGAACTGTATCAAGGGTCTTAAAGCAATCCTTCAAGGAATTTTCTTGGTAGAACTCCACCAGCTCCTAGGAGTAAAATGGAGAAGTGCTCTTTGAAATAAGGCAACAGTACAAGACGTACATTTGTCATTGGCATGATGTATCCAGCTCATACATATGAGAAAGACATGAAAGGAAAGCACTTATTACCATGTAACACAGCAAGTTAGATCCTGCTCTAAACTTTAATGATCCTTTCCAGAGTTTCTTCCTTGATCTCTGGGTTACAAATAGAGAAATATAAACTGGCTCCGTGGCGGTATAATATTATACCCTGCATGAGAGATGCACAGTGTCTCCACAACTTAGGCTTCATTTTAATAAAGAGTATCCACAGTAGATTGCCAATTAGAATGGAGAAAATACCAATGGAGGGATTTCTGTCATTTGCTAAACTGCTGTACCACCTCTGAACCTTTATTTCAAAAGATGAATCACATTTTTTTGAGGTCATTCATTTATTTGAAATTGGCATAAAGTTGGATTTCTTTTTCCTGCAATTTTGCAGCTAAATAACATCTTGTGGACAGTTTGCATTGTCATTGAAAGGACCTTTCACCTCATCTGTTTCCTGTGGTCAAGCAAACCTCTTTCCTCCCTTCCCTGTAGATGCTTAACTTCCTTTTATCAAGTTGACTACATGAACCTCTAAACCATAATTAGAATTTTTTGGGAAAGTGCCTGCCTATAAAAATATGATATGCTGGTGTTTTAAAAGCACAACAAAGCAATGTTCTCAAGTAGTCAAGATAACATCATTTCTTACAGTCATAACATGGATTGGAGGTACACTCACTTTTAAGCAATTTCTCTTGTAGAGTGCTTTGGTGAGATATTTTTCTCTACTTCAGCATCTGCACTAGTTTGGGACTTGAGGTACTGACTGGCCATTTTTGAGATCTCCTTCAGGTCAGCTGGAGGAAGCATTAATTGGCTCATATTATTATCTACCTACTTCGCTAACCAATTTCAGATAGTTTGGAGGAATGGTGAGAAGAAACAGTGCTGGGGAGAAGGGCCCTGAGTTTATCAAAGGCCCTATTGTTCTAAACAAGTGCTATAATGTTTATGTTCCCTTCAATTTTCCCTCTTATTTCCTCTCTTCCCTTTTTTAATTTCATAAGCTCGTTTTTCACTTGTGCTGCAAAAGTAATGGTGGTGAAGATCAATTCTTACTATAAGTCCTTTGAAGGCTTTCTTCTCTGTAATGCGATACAGCTCCTCCTTGGTCTGGATTTTGATGTGCTTGACTTCGGCATTGAACCTGTAGACGAGAAATACGTATAACAGTAGGTTTCCTTCGAATGATAAGCAATGATAACACAGGTTCATTAAAAACAGATGTACCTTTAAACTGAACAGAATTAAACTGTAGAAGAGGCCAAGGACTCATCTCATTCAAACGCAAATAGATAGCAGCAATAGTCAAGTTGAAAACAAACCAACAATGGCTCTAAAGTCTCTATTTATATTGCTTGAGTTGCATAAAATGGCAGCTCTTTGTTTCAGCAAAAAGCCTAGTCCAAATAAAAAGCCAAGTAAAATCTGGAATCTGTTTGGAATCTGTTTCTTAGCATTTACATATCTTGTCAACTACATCATGAACTGCCTTCTGAATAAGCTGATCAAGCTCCTGCCTGTGGGCCATCATCTTTATGAGTGATGGATAGACCTTGTGTGTGCATTCAAGACCTTGGTATCTGATTTGGAGACTGCTGGTTCTGAAGCTGGAATGCCAGGTTCCAAAACCTCCTCAAGTTCCTGAAAGCTTGATAGGGAGTTCCTCTTTGAGATTCCAATTCTACTGTAGACCTATGTAGGAGGACTGAATCCTGACAGGAAGCTACACAATGTGATTACATTCACTCTGGCTGACTGATACCAAAAACAAAATTTTGAAAATCTGGAATTTTTAAAATTCCACATGTTTGTCTTTTACACCAGGCCTCATGATGGTTCTTTTGTATATCACAAACCCAGCTTGAATCTCAGAGAGAGAAAGTCCAATTCCAACCATGCTAATTCTGCTCCATATGGGGTTCTAGAATAAACATATCTAGAATGGAATAGAGCTGGAAGTGACCTTGGAGATCTTCTAGTCCAGCCCCCCTGCTCAAGCAGGAGAACCGATACCATCTCAGACAAGTGACTGTTTAGCCTCTTCTTAAAAATCTCCAGTGATGGAGCTCCCACGATTTCTGGGGGCAAGCTGTTCCACTGGTTAATTGTCCTCACTGTCAGAAGTTTCTCCTTAATTCCAGGTTTCTTCTCTCCTTGATCAGTTTCCAACCATTATTTCTTGTACTGCCCTCTGGTGTTTTGGAGAATAACATGACCCCCTCTTCTTTGTGGCAGCCCCTCAAATACTGGAATACTGCTATCATGTCTCCCCTATTTCTTCTTTTCAAAGTTCAAAATGGAACCTTTTGCAAACATAGCACATATTGTACCAGAGTTACATTCCCCTCTTCTATAACTGTAGATTAGTGGTTCTCAACCTTTTTAATGCCACGACCCCCAACGGGTCGTAAGTCGAGGATTACTCAATTGGTCGTAAGTCGAGGACTACTCAACTGGGGCAGCACCGTTTGCAGAATGGGACTTTTGGCGGGCTCAGCAGGGCAGAGACAGCCTGGACAATTCCTATTGGCTTTTGAAAGCCAATAGAATTAGACTCTATTCAAGAGAGTCTATTCTATTGGCTTTCAAAAGCCAATAGAATAAAAGGGAGTAGCACAGCTAAGGAAAAGGGGGAAAAAATGGCGGACTGCGTTGTTTGGCGACCCCCGTGAAATGGTTGTTTGACCCCAAATGGGGTCCCGACCCACAGGTTGAGAACCACTGCTGTAGATGGTATGGAGAAAGATAATATGCTGACATCCAAAGAAATGAGTCATGAGATTCTAATGAAAAGCAAATTATAGGAAAAAATACACTGTGTGTTTCTCTGTTCCTATCAATTCTCCTGGCCCCTCTCTCTTCTTCATTATTTTAAACATCCAAATCTACATTTTCTTATTGTAGACAATTCTGACTGGAATTAAACTTACTTGATGCTGATGGCAAATTCAGTTGCATCTTTGATTCTCTGCCGCACCAGGTAAGTTCCATCTGATCGGCTGGCAAGGATTTGTTCTGCTTCTGCCCGCTCCATGGGTCCCGCATACCTGTGTAGGGAGGGTTATTGCTTATTAGCAATACAATGTTCAGTCACTGGGTGTCCCCATACTCCATATAACCATGATGAGACAAGAATGATTCCAAGTGGACAGATCCAGCTATTACCTCTCAATCTAATAGCTATTCCAACTTTCCAATAAAAATGTTTTTTTTTTCAAAAAAGGAAGAAAAAAAGCAGTATGATGGAATTATAGAACGGTTATAAATGGAAGATGTCTTTCTTTGGGCATCTATAACATTCCATGAATGAATCAGGTTGATTGCACTTAAAAAAAAACCTCTGGTTTTAATAATTTGGGAACCACATACAACAAATATTTGACTTTTTCTCAATATGAATATTTATATTCTTATTAAGAAATAAAATTGGGGGCTGGGCAGGAGAACAGGAATGGGCAACTAGCTTCTTCTCCCTCATATAGTCTATTTGACATGGGGAAATGTATTTAATAACAAACATGGAATTTCCCATAGCAAATACTGCATCATATCTATCTGCAGTGTAAAAGTGTACTGAATGCAGTTGAAAATGTAGGCATAGATGCATCCTCAAAGTTGAAACCAGCTTAGGCAAATCAAAAGCATTCATGCTTCATATAACAGCACAGAATGAAAGCATGATTAACAAGATGGTAGAAATCTGAATTAATACTTACCAAAGATAAACTGAGAGATCTGGACGAGGACTCTGGGAAAGAAAAGATATAATTGCTGTTTGCATTTTTCTTGGGGAAAGTTGTGTTGAATGAAAAAGTGAACCATAGAAAAAAAATATTTAAAAACTCTTTTTCCAAAGGGAATTACCATACCAAACCAAAGCCTAGGAACCTTCCCTAGCTCACACCTTTTACCTATATTGGATTAGCCATTCTTTCAAGCGAGGAATGATCAGCTAGGAGACTTAATAACTCCTGCCCAAGTCCTCTTGTATCAAATGGAGTATGCTTACAGACTTTTAAGCAAATACACAAAGAAGTCCAAATCCCAGTACCTCCAGTGATAATGCTACTTACAGAGATATAAGGCTTCACTTTCCTACAAGGGAACCAGCCAACTTCATTGCTTGATGTGTTCCTTCCCTGCAATCCAAATTGAAAGCAAAGGACATGTTCAGATAGAGTTTTTTCAAGTGTAATTTTCAGTTTATTAGTAATATGATGGAAAAAATTACAATAGATTATTTTGTTAGAACTAGAAGGTTATATTGAAATGTCCTGAATCGTTTTGCCAGATTCGTTCACTTGATAAGTCTGCCATTAAAATAGATAAGCTAGCTGGCTTTTGATGTCAGATTTAGTATACTTGAACAGGTAATTGAACTCTGACTAATCTCACTTCCAGACCAAGCAAAGAGAGACAACTTTTCTGGGGTAATAGCAAACCTAGAGATGGTGAAAAGCAAGCAGATTAAAAAAAAATCTCAAAACACTGCTCATTTGAGCCTTTCCCTTTGGTACTCTGGTATGTCAGTGATCGTTTAAAGCAACATGTGCTCTTCAAATGTACATATTGGACTAAATTTCCACCATCTCCAGCCAGCTTGATTGCCTAAATTATAATAGAGGAACTATGTAGAAGAAGGTTGATAGAAAGGACCAATGAGGAAGGTTGAAACCTTCTCCTCTACGGCTGTCCTCTCCTCCAGGCAGCATTCTCTAAGAGCTCATCATCATGACCAGGGCACAAAAAGTCTCACAAAATGTTCTGAAGGATCCTATCCTCATGATGTTGCCATCTTCTCATCCTGAGCCCATGACATAGTTTTATTTAGTTCTTAGATGTTTCATTTTTAATGTTTTTCCTTTTCTTCCAACACAAATGTTGCTGAATGTATTTATTTTATTAATCAAATTTGTATAGCTGTGCATCTCACCAAAAGCAACTCTGAGCAACACACAACAAGCAAATTAAGACAACAGATATAAAAATATCTAAAAATCACATTAAAGATAGTATAAAAATAGAACAGACAGTCTATGATGTTTCGTTGATGATGTAGCTGATGACACAGTCAAGGACAGGGGTCTACCTAACTCCCATTGGCTCTTGAATTGTATTGATAGGAAGACCAGATAGTTGCATAATGCCTGACAGTGCTTTCCAAAGCCCTTTCCCCCCACCACATCTGCAGCCCTCTTTTTCAGTTAGGCTAATAGAAATTTCTCAAGAGCTGGTCCCTTCTTCTGCCCCTTTGCCTTCTCCACCCCTATCATCCAAAACATACTGAAAGGAATTTCTTGTGAAATTAACTAGAGAGGACAAATCTGATCAGTTCTGTATCATTAATAAAATTATTACTTTTTCTTTGTCCCTTCTCCCTAAATGCCAATCTGCTTGAACACAGAGAAAAAAAATCCTGAATTCTCCTCCCATCTCCAAGATATTACCTTTTAGAATTACAGGAGGTGCCTTTAAATGCAGTGATCTTTGGTTTTGAGGACGTCTCTGTTTTAAATTTTCAATTCAGCATGAAGAAAGAAAAAAGGCATGTATGTGCACCATGCAAATAAAAAGGACAGAACTAATACTTGTTGAGACTGACCTTTTGCCCTGTTGCAATCAACCCAGTTTATTTCTAAATTATTGCCCTTCTCAAAAATGCTTTTCAAACCACAGATTTATCATATTAAAAATGGTTAACAGATACAAGAAGGCACTGCTTAGTGAAGTAGGAGATCTCCTTCCCACATCACTTTGCAACTCCTTAATGTATGTCAGTTGTTTTGTGGACTACTTCTATACATCAGTTTAGCGTTATTCCATAATACTGCTCTTCCCGTATCCTGTGTCCTTTAATACCATGCCCAAAATGAGACAAGACCATCAGCTAATAGTTGCCCTTCCCTTGAGTGTATTCATGAGAACACAAAATCAGAACATTCAAAACTTAATTTCATCTTCTCCGAAATCCCATGCGGATATTTGTTCTACTGGCAGGTGACAATGGGAAGAAAACAAAACTAAGGGAATCCTCCAATTGTTTTTCTAAACTTGTCCAACATTAAATCTGTAAGGACAGCACATTGGTCTTCTTCTTGAAGATGAAAAATACTTGGCCGTAAGAGCTATGCAATTTATATTGGTCTATTTCTTCTGTGGACTCAAGACTGAAAGAATGCATACATACTTATGCAACTAGGACAAAGGATCCAAAGCTAACTTGGGTGAAAACAGTTGCTGTCAAATCACTGTAATAAACCTTTCCATTCTAGTGTTCCTTTTGGCATTTTGTATTTTAATATGGTAGACACGATTTTAAAGATTCAAGGTGCCTTTCATAATATACAAACTGAATTTTAAACAGTAAATACTTCAGTATTCAAGATGAAGTACCACTCCAGTTTAATTTAAGGTGGATGTATTCAGCTAAGTTGGGATGAACCAATTTATATACTTCCTTTAGGGACAATTTTATATAAAAGATATGCACCTGCAGTGTCATCTTGGTTTCACCTCCATTGCCTGATGGTGCCACTCCTAGGCTGCCCTTGGATAGTCCTGGGAATGATATTTACCTGCCACCACAGCTGCTCTGCCTCAGCTTTGTTCAGTTCCACAATGTCCCCTACGTTGAGCCTCAGAGGTGGACCAAATGCTACTGGCGGAGGAGGGACTCCATAATACTCCTGGCAGACTTCCAGTTTGGGCAACCCTGGAGAGTGAAAAAATAATTGCAATTGAATTGTGTCTGAAACAAACCAATTTCTCATTTTTTTGCACATTCCATACACATGAGCATTTTCAAATAATTAAAAAGAACAAGTAGGCAATGAAAATAGTACATTTATTGGCTGTGTTCAACTGGGCTAACTGGATCATTATTTCCCAACATCAAGTTTCTCTATCTCCATGTATAGAGTCTGTGGGAATTGAACAGCATATACTTCTAGTATTATTTTGGTTAGTTGCAAGTCAGCCAGATGTTTAGACTTGATTTAGCATTTTTATCTGCTTATCAAGTCCTTCCCAAGAACCTGGGATAGGGTTGTTTGATGGTGTTAAAGGCATCACCACAGGATGTAAGCTGTCCAATAGAGCTGCCTTTTGCAATTGATTGTTGGAAAATTTGCCAATGCTGATGATGTTCAAATAGTGCTCCAGATGTTTTGAAATTGCATCCAAGATCTCTATTATATTGATACTATATTTGCCTTTTTTGCCATGTTCATTTTACTTCTATTTGTAGGTCTTTGTAGTTTGTTATCATCTCCTGTTCTTTTGTCTTCTATTCTGCTGTCTCCAGGTACTGCAATGTCCACTCTTCAGATTTTTTTTTTTTTTTGTCTTTTTTATAGGCAATTATTAAGTCTGGGGTGTTATATTACAAGTGCTTCTCTGTTTGAATGCTAAAATTCCAAAGCACTTTAGCTTCTTCATTTTCTATTGATTTGCTAATTTTGTGGTCCCGCCAGTTCTTGCTTGCAGTTCTGAAGCAGCAAAATAAAAAGAATGCCATCAATGGGATGGAGAACAGATAACACAACAAGAACCTTTCCACTTTTTAATAATGGCAAAACCAAAGATGAAACAAAAGATAGGGGAGGAGAATCTCACTGGAATTGCTCTTAATGATTTCTGAGCTGAACCTAACAGATCTATATATCATGTCTTCTATATGGCCCAACTTTATTTAATTTCCTTTAGGAATTTCTATCAGTTATGATTCCCATTGCCATGACAACTAAATATCATTCTTCTGTGTTCTTCACTATCATCCTGTAGACTAACTGCCAGGATAAAAACAGTAACTTACCTAGATCTGTTTTGTCTCTTTCCATTGTGTGTCTGTTGGATTTATTCTGCACAAAAAATATAGAAAAAAGGTCCAAACAGTAAAAATGGAGTCATAAATCTAGAAAAATGCCCTACATGGAGGTTGCTTCTATGTGATTCATTAACTTTACCCAATGTACAAATTTTAAGTTACAGTCATCTGCTAACAATGGCTTGCAGACCTTTCTTATTCTCTGTTCTTGCCTGTTTTGCTGTGGTGACATGTAATATTTAAAAATACACTTTTCGGGAGGAAGATTCTATAATTAGCACGAAGGCAAATATCTTCAAAGAAGCTGAACTGTAAAATAAGGGTTCATATCTTTTCCAGAATGGAGGTAAAGATCTAACTATGGAATGATGAAAGTTAGCCCAGAAGGAAATATTAAAAAGGGCAGAAAAATATATTTTTCTTCAAAAGGACTTTTTAAAACCAAACTTGGCCCCAAATCTATCTCTCTGCCCCAAGCAAGAGCCAGGCCCATACAAATGCAAATGTAAAACCATCAGAAAGTTGGAGCCAGAGCAATCAAGAAGACAAAAGAGAAGATCTGCATACCCCACCCAAACTCTAGGAGTCAGCCCCATCACCTGGGAAGCAGGATATGATAACAGAATTAAACCACAGATATCAAGGCCTAGACAAACACTCAGAAACAGTCTCAAGGTTCATGCCACAGGAACAGGAAACTATTCCAAACAAAAGGCTAGAGGGGGTATAAAACCTACTGCCCATGTGCTCAATCTCTCCATTTGCTCTCTTCTTCTCTCCTCTGCACTTTCCTGAAGACCATCTTTCTGCAATAAACTGTAACCTTCTTCCCAAAGCAGTCACCATGTTTGCTTATTTATTCCCGGCTTGGATGAACCAGGATGAAGACCTTACTTCTAACAATTTGGCACCCCGAGATGGGACTCCAAGCTAACCTCTCCAATGGACTGAGACTGGTAAGCCCCATCTTGCCGGCAGCAGACCCCCTTGTGTCTGTGGATGGGTCTCCCAGGCCTTGCCCATGTGGAGCTAGGGTAGTAAAGGGAGTTTTGAGAGTTTGAGCTCAAGGGCTGCTTTGGAAAGAAGGTGAAGGTGAGTACCTCTAAATTTTAAGTTTAAAGCCCAGGGGAACAAAGAAAATGTGTGTATTTCTGTTTGTGTGAGTGAGAAGATCTTTTTTTCCCCAATCACAATTGGATTTTGCTCCTTCTGGTCTTTCCTAGCCGCAGAAAGGATCTGTTTAATTGGCAGAACCTGGACAGCATGGGGGTTGGCCAGAGCACAGAACCTTTTGTTAGGGAAAAGGGAGAGACTGTGTGAAAATGAAATGGAATGAGTGAATGAAAGAATTGGATTTGGGCAACTAGCTGGTAAGGCCCTGTAAGCAATGCAAAGTTAGGAAAGAAGTCTTGCAAGGAGACTTCGACTGTGTAGTGCCCTTTAGGTTTGGAAAGAAGTCTCACAAGGAGACTTCGACTGTTTGGAAAGAAGTCTCACAAGGAGACTTCGACTGTGTAGTGTATGAAAGAAAAATAGACTTTGCTTAGGGCCTTGCTGGGAAACCAATTTGTCTAAATAAAGGTACTTAAAAGGGAAAATAAGAAATAGTGATTCTCTCTCTCTCTATCTCTCTCTCTCTTCTCTATGCAACCATGTGGTATGTTTAAAATGTGTGCCTTCCCTAACTTGAGTTATCTGAAATTTATGGTGGGAATGACTAGGATGTGTAAAACTAAGACTTCTGTTCTCTTGTCTTTGTGTATATATGTTTGTCAAAGTCTGTGCGTGAGAGGTAAATGTGACTGTTAACTGTTTCAAATCCAAAGGAAAAAGAATTTTAAATTCTGCTAGAAATTCTGCTTAAAATAAGCCACAAAAAGGAAATACCTCACTCTGTTTGTCTGGCCAACAAACAGAGTGAAGAAAAAAGTTGTGTTTGTTTGTTTGTTTGTTTGTTTTCCTCTTTCTCTCTGTGTACGCTCAAGAACAGCCTTAAGTTACCAGGAGGGATTGTTTTAAGTTTATCTGTTGGAAAAGTTTCACTTGCATTCACTGTATGTGTTTTATCTATCTTTTTCCTGAAAAATGTGTGTCTATCTACAAGAGCCTTTTGAAACTCAAGTCTGCTTGTGTGGGGAAATAATTTCCTTAAGTTACTTTTCGTATCCTATCACTTATTGGTGATGCTACTATGAAACTTTTCTTATCCCAAATATATAAGCATTTCTCAATCTCTAAAACGATATGGTCTATTTTAGAATAAATGTTCTCCTACCCTTGGCAAGTTGCACATCTCAAAATATTAGGCTTTTAAAATTATTTGGAGTTTTCAGCATTTTCAAACTGCCTGCAAGCTACCCCCCTTCCAATTCTTTTCTTGACCTTTGTTCTCCATACCTTTTGTCTGCCTCTCCTGGTAGAGTCCACCCAGAAAGGGCGGGGGAGACCTTGTTCTTGTATCTTTCAGCCCTGAAACCTTCTCCCAAGCCTTTGGAAGCAGAACACACAGACCCAGATGCTGCCTCCATCCATTCGAGCCATGGAATTGAGTTTTGAATCCAGCCATCCACTAAAAAGCCACCATGCAATCTAAGTTGAAAATCTTCCCAAGTCCTACCATTTACCCAGATGCCTGTGAGAGCTGCAGAAGGAAGGATTCCTGGAGCCACTGATGCCATGTGAAGCCTCAGAAGAGAGAATTAGACTGTGGGGGGAGGGTGGAAACTCATTGTAAACTTTTCTTTCTTGCCCCATTTGTATTGTAACAAGCCAGTTGAATGTATTAATGGAGAGATGGCATTTAGGAATAGGTGGCAGAACAAGTACTGAACACCTTGGACTTCTATCTGGTGGGAGGGAAAATTTATCCAGAATGTTTGTATTGACTATTTTGTAAAAGTAGCTGCATATACATGCACACACACACAGACACCATTCAGAATCACACTTGAGTCTATCCCCTCCACCTACCTTTAGTGAAGTTCCCCAGGCTGATTTTTGCTCTGTTGTACCAAAGCTTTGAGGGATCAACTTCCAACAGATAACAAGGGGGAGGGAACTAGGCCCCCTCAGGTGATTTGCAATTCATATGCCCTGACTAAGGAAGCAATAGGAAAAATCCCAAACTTATGCCCTGAATATTTTGCACTGTTGAGCTCAGATTGGGATTCCTAGAGCTCATTATGGGCAATTTAAAGAAAAATTTAATAGCCTGGCAGTTGGGCATTACAAACCTGGATGCACTGAATTAAGAGCTAAGGCAGGAAACAACCCTTGAAACTGGGCAGCCAGTGGTCATGTACTAAGGAGAACCATGGCTGTGAAGAATTTTGGGGGGTATGCAAACCTGACTGGAAGCTAAAGGTGATATCCAACATTTGAAAATGATTGGCACAGAATATTGGACACTATAAATTTCTATCTAACAAAATTTTGCCCTGACTTTTAGAACTTTATGGGTGCAAGCTCCCCTTTTGGGAGCCACTAAAGAGATCTTTTTCTGCTGCCTCCATTAATGTCTTATTATTATTATTTTGCTTAACAGTTTAAAAGCTTGCCTACCAAGTCTCCCTGACCAGATCAATTTTAATGTTGTGCCAATAAGTGTGTCATAAATACACACTTAAGGCACAAAGCGGGGGATTGATGAAAGTTAGCCCAGAAGGAAATATTAAAAAGGGCAGAAAAATATATTTTTCTTCAAAAGGACTTTTTAAAACCAAACTTGGCCCCAAATCTATCTCTCTGCCCCAAGCAAGAGCCAGGCCCATACAAATGCAAATGTAAAACCATCAGAAAGCTGGAGCCAGCCTAGACAAACACTCAGAAACAGTCTCAAGGTTCATGCCACAGGAACAGGAAACTATTCCAAACAAAAGGCTAGGGGGGGGTATAAAACCTACTGCCCATGTGCTCAATCTCTCCATTTGCTCTCTTCTTCTCTCCTCTGCACTTTCCTGAAGACCATCTTTCTGCAATAAACTGTAACCTTCTTCCCAAAGCAGTCACCATGTTTGCTTATTTATTCCCGGCTTGGATGAAGACTTTACTTCTAACAGGAACAAGTTGAACTCCTCTCCCAGTTATTACAAAACAGAATGCAATTATACCAAATCCTATCATCCTTCTGTTTCAGTTATGTGGGTTTAGGCACATGGATTTGGCATTCTGGGAATGGAGGGAGTGGGTGGGTTTGATCTCACTTTATGTACTGCTTTTAGTGTTAAGGACAGAAAACAGAATCTTGGGAAACAGAAGAGGTAAAGAATCAAAGAGGGAGGAATAAAATAGGGAATAGAAGGTGGAGATATAGAGGAAGATATACTGTAAAGCAAGGAAGAGCCTTGGGCAGAGATATGTAAATGATAAAGGGAATAGAAAAAAAGAAAAAGAGTCAGAGATTCAAATAGCAAGAAAAGCCAAACTATTAGAATCAATTTAGTGGAAGAACAGACTAATAATGGCTAGGTTGGCCAATTTCTTATTTGGAGTTCCTTTTTTAGATGTTCTGACCTTGCACATAGTATGCTAAAAACCTGGGAGGATATATAGTCCAACCAGAAACAAATCACAAATTCTATTCACACACTACAGCAAACTATTAATACAATCAACATATTGATTTGTAATACACACATTCACATTGCTGAAATTAAAAATGTTCAGATCTCTGTTGTAAGGCCCCAAATTCATGCACAGGCTTTAACACTTGGACAGAATAAGACAATAAATCCTTCTATTACTCTCTAATTTCCTCATGGCGGAATGATGGAGGAGGAAAATTTAAGGCTGATAAAAATATGTATTGTGTCAGCCTGTGTTCCAATCCAGCAAGTGCTTTTCCTACCCATCTTTAGAAATGCAATGATGAAGTTGCTAAGGAAAATGGTCAAATTTCCATATTGTCTTTAACTAGCTTTTTTAAAAAAATATTATTTTGTGGTTTGCCACTGATTATTTGTGATCTGATTAACACATTGTGCTAAACCACATTGGGTGGCTTGACATATTCTGCTACACCAAAACCAAACTGCATCATTAAAGGCATCCATGGGACAGAGTTTTCAGTCATCCAGTCCTTCCACCATATTGGATGATATATAAACCAGGCCCATCTGTCTTTCCACCATTTATCCATCATTAATTTCCCAATTTTTCAACTTGTCACGAATTTAAATTAAATGTTCAGGTTTTTACCTTTTTTACAGTAAATCCAGAGTCACCTTTAAACAGAAAAAAGCAGTATTACAGTCATTATAGGGACAAGAGAATCTTGCAATTAACATGAAGGAACAGAGGTGATAAGCCACCAGCAGTAAAGAAGGGAAGGAAGAAGGAAGTGGTATATTCTATAGACAGGAGGGAGCCAACTCTTTCCTAATCCCTATAGTGAGAACATAGAATAATAGGGCTGGAAGGGACCTTGAGATCTTCTAGTCCAACCCCTGCTCAAGCAGGAGACCTTATACCATTCCCAACAAATGGCTATCCTGTCTGGGGAAAAAAAGAAGGAGGAGGATGGAATTCCTTCATCTATGTTCATACATCCAGCCATTTCTTTGCTTTTTCAAAGTATAGTCAGAAGCAACCTCAACAGTAGTTTGATGATTTGTATATGATTACTGGTGACTGATCACATTCACTATGGCAACTATTTTATAAATAGCCCACCCCACCCCCAAAATAACTACTTTATAAAATTGTTCCCATCAGCCCTCCAAACTGTTTCTCTGTTGCCTCAAGACATTTGGACTAAAATTATCCAACCATTTATAGCCCCAAATATGTAGAGGACACAGGTAGCTGGCCTTTGCTGCATATTGTCCCAAAGAAAGCCTAGCTTCCAAAGGCTGAGAACAACAGCAGGATCTAGGCACACAGGCTTTCCCCATTCCTGTGAAATACCATAACCCTTTTGGGGACTTTCCTACTACTGATTTAATGTTCTGAGTCAGGAAGAAGAATTGCAGCCATAAATCACTGGTCTTGCCTATGGCCTTCCTGCAGAACGCATAGTCTTGTTAAATAAATTAGGGTCCTGCAATGGAGAATGAGAACACTGGGGATTGCCAGATTGTTATGGCACATTGTTATGCAATATGCAAGCAAGGAATAAGGTTTGGCTACTACCTAGAAACTTACCTGAACTGGATTTTCCACATGGTGACACCCGGCCAAGACATTCCTTATGAGCAGGTGACCTGCATTTGCTGCAGCGATAGCCCTGGTAGAAGGTTCCTCTATGAGCAGATAGAAGGGTATGAAGAGTAAGTCCACATATTTGACTTTTCAGGATAAAGTGGAATATGGGCTATTTATTTTACAGGGCTGTCTGCTTCTACACATAAAATGGCAGCTGTATTATTAAATATTTAGAATTTATTCAAGGGGGGATTGAAGTATATGGCGTAACGTGCATACCTCAGCAGCATCTGGCAGGCTTTGCAGGAGGTGGTATCTTCAAATGAATACATGTAGAACTCGTGTCTATTGGCCTTGGCATTTTCAGGATAGATATTGGAGCTGTATCATGGAATAAGAAGGCACTTAGCAAGCAAAATGCAATACTTCTGCTTGTTAGATCTTTTGCTTTGTAAAAGGCATTAGGAAAGCAGTAAATTGTTTGGCCCTCTTATATTATTTTTCTTTTTTTGTTCCCGAGTTTGTTTCAATTTGGTTTTCTACATGCCAGTTGGTAAAAATTGAAAATGCTGATATTCTTTGAAATATTCCTATGATTTCATTTTAAGAGAAAGCAAAAAAAGTATAGGCTAGTTTGTGAAAAATTAAGAATGAATAAACAAAGATTCTTGATAAAAATGGTCACAGTCTGAGAAATCCTCTATCTTATTTTCTGAATCCTATTTCTCATCTTGCTTTGTCAAAAAGAACTCTAGGAAATTGCTGAACTTCATGAAATAATGAAATGTTGGAAATGTTACGGCTTTTGTTGATCAGCTAACAGGAAACCCATGTTTAATGACTATAACTATCTAATTTCTGTAGAAGCCTTCTGATTAATCAAGCCCTTCCTTCCTTCCTTCCTTCCTTCCTTCCTTCCTTCCTTCCTTCCTTCCTTCTTTCTTTCTTTCTTTCTTTCTTTCTTTCTTTCTTTCTTTCTTTCTTTCTTTCTTTCTTTCTTTCTTTCTTTCTCTTTCCCATTAAGGTGCCCTGTTAAATCTGGAATGAATCCATCATGCTGTGATTAGTCCAAAGCACAGCAGACTTGGAATGATAAAGGTCATCATGCCAAGGCTAAAGGAATAGAAGAAACTTACAGAGCCATTTCAAATTGTTCCATCCACTTCTTTTTCAGCTCTCGTGTCTTGAAGTACAGTTCATAGCCCGAGAATCCATTAAGCTCAATTAGAACAAACATATGAGTCCACTGACAACAAAAAATGCAGAATAATTTATTAAGGCAAAATCTGGGGCACTTTAATCCCAGACCCCTTGTCCCCTATTAATCCCCTTTGGAAGGAACATAGTACAATGGATTAGAAAGGAAGCACAGCATTGTCCTT